TCCCGATCGGCATGGTGGATCATATTGAAACTTGGATATGTTGTGCTCCTCCCCGAGCACTTTAGTTATATGCCTTGTACATGATGATCAGATTGAAAGAAATCTTAGAAAAAGGATCACAAATTTTTATTAACATGCAAGTCAAAATTCCTACGATCTCTCTTTCCATCATCTCAGGTCGAAGTAGGTGCATTTCGACCATGACTTGAAGAGCTTCGAATTAATATACGGAAAGTCATGAACTCCCCCAGATCGAAGGTCGTTGGGGCTGGCAATGTGGCCAATTTTTATAATGTGTATAGGTCTAGTTTTCCAGGGACTTGCTGGAGCCATATCTCGGCCGATCGGTGGGCTTTTGTTGCATTCTTTAGTGCGAAATGCCTGTGGCAGTACCCTCTGGGATTTTCTGACCAACAAATCACCAATAAGCTCAAGCATTCAATAGATATTGATGGAATTAAACCTAGAATTGCAAGAAAACCCAAAAACCTCTACATAGACATAACTTTGTCAAATATATGGTGTTTCGCATAACTCTTGTACCAAAATCATTGTTGCGGTGCGATCTTCGTTTTCCTGGCAAAATATCTCATGTTCTGGCACCGGAAATCGTAATAAGAAGGCCAGTACCATGCTGATAGGAAGCGGCCCTTAGTGAGCACCCTATACATCATAGGTGAAATTTGTATAAGATTGCCTCCTTATACTGCACAAGTAAGGCGCAGCTATAAAATTTACTTAGAGATGTTTTTTCAATGTCAAAAACCTTTGATGGTTTGAAAATCTCGTTTTATTCCCAATTATAAAATTTAAAATTTAAAAAATGGTACTGATCGAGCAGTTCAATAAACACTTGAAAAATCTTGAAAATAGACAGTCCAGATAACTTGTTATAAGATGCACTATGTTTTTAACTTGGAATTTGTTTTTTTCTTCATGTCCATTTATCTCAAGGTCGATATGATAAGTTGGAGGGTTCTCCTATGCCGGAACACTCTCCACTGTAGGATTCTGATGTACACCTAGGTTGAAACCTTCTATAAACTCTTTCCCTACATCATTTCTTGAAAATTGATCGTTTTTTGGTGCAGTTTTCATACGGATGCCTATGTAGCTGTAGAGACACGGTTTAACAAATATACACCGTCTATACATTTCGATGGCCATGATCGCGTAGTAAAGAAAAAGGCAAACTTGGTGATCGTCGATAGCCAATTTTGCTTCTCTCGGCACATCCCTTTGCCACACCAGCCTTGGAGGCTAGATGGGAGGAAGAGGAATTTAGAGAGAAAAAGAGGGGATAGTTGGATTGAAAGAGAAGAGGAAGAGATGTTAAAGAATTTAGAGAGAGAAAAAAGGGAGAGTTAGGGTGAGTAGAGAGAGAAGAGGAAGAGAAGTTCAAATTGGAGGTTTTGGAGAGAGAAATAGGGGAGAGTTGGGGTGAGTAGAGAAAGAAGAGGAAGATAAGTTCAGATTGGAGGTGTGCAGTGCAAGTTATTGAAGCTCAAAACCTTCATCAAAGTTTCTCGGACATCATCTTCAGGTAAGGATGAATCCAATTGATTTTAGCATGACGATCATTTGTAGATCCACCATGACGCCCATTTCAAACAAATAGAAAACAATTTCAGTGAGGTTTTTGCATCAAGACCTCATGTTATTGAACCCTAAATCACCCATCTTCCCTTCTTTAATTTTCTCTCTCAAATCAGAACCAAACAATCTAATAATTGATTCAAATCCTTCATATTTCATCCATTTAGAAAAACCCTAAATTCAGTTTTGGATCAATTGAAAAATTTGTAGAAATTGATGTACAAATTTTTCTATATATATTCATGTTATATATCCAAAAACCTCTACCCTACTTTCGTCATGACATAGCAAGCATATTTTGGGCATCGTTTTTTGTATAGGGCACCCGTATGAGAGAGAGAGAGAGAAAGAGAGAGAGAGGGATTCATTTTTGTCTTGGGCACCTGTATGAGAGAGAGGACGGGACGATGGTGAAAGTAGCAAGCACAACTTGGGATGAGAGGGTAGAGAGAGAGAGATCTGCATGCGAGAAATTTTTGGAGGGAAATAATTTGTAGAGAGAGAAATGGAGGAAAACAAAACTAGCCCATTGATGAAATAATTTATTGAGGTTTAGGTCAACATCTCAACTACAAAAAAAAAAAAAACCAGAAGTTGCCCGTTGACGAAATACTTTCTTGAGGTTTATGAAATATTTTTTTGAAGTGTGGATCAACATCTTAAACGTCTAATTTAGTTATGATAAAGATGCAACCCTATTCAAACTTTTCTCTTTTTTTATTTTATCATTATAAATTTTTTCTTTTTTTTTCACCCAAACCTACCCATTTTTGACTTTGGAAAGAAAACCTCTCCCTACTTTTGACCCTTGAGAGATACTTCTCAGCATGCGTTTTTTTTGTTTTTAAGGGGAGAGCCGTATAAAAGAGGGATCTTATCCCTTTCACAAACCTTAACCATGATCTTAACCCTTTCACAAACCTTAACCATACTTTATTCATATCGTAACCAATGATAGCCATCCGTTATCCTTGGTTAAGTCTTTACATTTAACCAAGGTTTCCTAACCCCAACCAAGGTTCCTTACCCTAAGGAACTCACTCCCCTACCAAGGTTTCCGAGCCCACACGCATTGGATTTTATGCCTGGAACAAAAGAAAAAAATACAATTTAAAGTACCAATGATATACCGGGTACCAAAATTTACCAATTGGATGAGGTTTTGAGCAATCAGCCCATACACTCTACTCAAGTACATTCTCCTTTCCAATTTGAAAATGTAACCGATCAATGACTTTCACCACAACCAAACAAAAAGTTAATTATAAATTTTTAAATTATAATTTTTAGATAATTTTTGGATAAGTTAATTCTTTATAAAGTTTGTCTAGAATTAACAACTCTTCATAAAAATTAATGTTATAATGGGTTGTGATGGATGTATTTATAAAAAAGAAAAAGTTTATTTAGAGCCGAAGCTCTTATCAATCAAATTAGAGCCCACCTAAATAGTTAATTATAAATTTTTAAAATATAAGTTTTAGATAATTTTTGGATAAGTTAATTCTTTATAAAGTTTGTCTAGAATTAACAACCCCTCATAAAAATTAATGTTATAAAGGGTTGTGATGGATGTATTTATAAAAAAGAAAAAGTTTCTTTAGAGCCGAGGCTCTTATCAATCAAATTAGAGCCCACCTCAATAATTTCATTAGAAGATGTTGTTTTGATGCCCAAATATCTTCGATTGATCATTTTGATATCAAGATGCATGGACATGATAAAAAAGTATATTTCAAATTTTGAAAATAGTGCATCTTGTAATCCATGTTTAAACTGTCAATTTTCAAGATTTTTAAGTTTTCATAGATTCACTTGTCTACATTATTTTTGAAGCTTTAAATTTTATAATTAAAATAAAATTATATTTTAAGGCTATCACAAAGATTTCCAATATTGAAATCACATTGCTCAGCACCATTTGAAAGTGGGCTCTAATTTGATTGTTTAGAGCCACAACTCTATACAAACCACATCCTTATAAAAAATATCATTACTTTTTTTTAAAAAAAATTATTTTAATAGAGAACTTAATTATAAAGTAATGACAAATTTGAAATTTTTACAAAAGTACAATAGCATTTTGGAAGTTAGTGTTCTAAAATTTTATTTAAAGAGTGCCATTGTCTTTTAATAAAAATTTTAACTTTACCTTTTTATAAAGATGACAAAAATACTTTTTTTTCTAGGAGTCATATTTACAAAATTTTTTATTTAATGATCAAAATATCATAAAAAATAATTTTTTTAAAAAAATAAACCACAAAATATTTAAGATTAGCTATAGGAATCCGGATCTATTATTCTTCTCTTTCAAAGACAGTGCCATTACTTACGATTCGCATCTACCACTAAATTGTGGTGATTCTTTTTGGAGAATGGCTCATCTCCACCGCCCACTACCATAAAAGGACGGTTTGGATGAAAGTAACACTGGTATGCTTTCCCCTTAAAATAATCACACACAATGCTAAAGGGTTGGTTAACATTAAAACAAGTTGACGGAGAGATAAGGCGGCGGGTACACAAGATTATCATGTGACTGCAATCCAATCCTTTCCTCATTTCTTCCACAATTGACTATATAAATGTATGTATTCCACAGCCTGGTTTCCTTTTTCCCAACTGAAAAAAAACCCAATAAACCTTGCGTCCCGTGCTACTGTAAGAGAAGCAGAAAAGATAAAAAATGTTGCTCCAAGCTGTGCTCCTCATTCTTGCAGTCAACCTCTCTGCCTCATATGAGACTGGCTTTAACTACTCAAGCTTCCATGGAGCAAACTTGAGCTTAAATGGTGTCTCAGAGGTCACACCAAGTGGAGCCTTACAGCTAAGCCAATTTTCTCAACTGGTGATAGGTCATGCTTTCTACCCCAACCTCTTGCAATTCAAGAACTCCCCATCGGGAAATGTTTTCTCTTTCTCAACAGCTTTCGTATTTGTTATCGAGGCTGCAGATGTCCTCGCATCTGGTGGTTTTGCATTTGCTATCTCTCCTTCTAGTAAGCTCGAAGGAGGCCAAAGCACGCAGTACCTCGGACTCGTTGGCATCACAGGAAATGGTGACCCCAAAAACCAAGTTTTTGGAGTCGAATTTGACACTTACAAGAGCGTAGATTTAGGAGACATCGATGATAACCATGTGGGTATTGACCTGAACAGCGTGAGGTCTAATGTATCCGTTTCTGCGGCTTATTCCATGACAAAGGATTATGAGACTACCAAACACAACATAAGTCTCAAGAGTGGAGACCCAATTCAGGTATGGATAGACTATGATGGCATAGAGAAGATGCTGAATGTAACTCTATCTCCTATTCAGATAGCTGGAAGAACCAAGCCCCCTTTGATTTCTACCAGGGTTGATCTCTCACCAATCCTACAAGAGTTCATGTATGTGGGTTTCTCTGCAAGCACAGGCGTGTTTTTAGCCTGCCATTACATTCTGGGATGGAGCTTTGCAATAAATGGAAGGGCTCGAGATTTAGATCTCTCTCACCTTCCTTGGTACCCTAAACCCAAATCATCTAGAGGGATTTCAAAGGCTTCTATGATTGGCATAATTCTATCTTCTATAATCCTAGCCATGGCAATTATATCAGGGATTGTATACCTTGTTAAAAGGCAAAGGGATGAGGAGATCGTGGAAGAGTGGGAGTTGGAGTATGGGCCACATAGGTTCTCATACAAGGAGCTATGTGATTCCACCAAGAATTTCAGAGAGGATAGGCTGGTGGGATCTGGGGGCTTCGGCAAGGTTTATAGAGGAGTGATGCCAGACTCTGGGATGCAAATTGCAGTGAAATGCGAGGCAAACAATTCTGGAGAATTTTTAAGAGAGTTCTTATCAGAGATCTCCATCATTGGGAGACTACGACACAGGAACCTGTTACCACTACTTGGATGGTGCAAGCGGAAAACAGAGCTCCTCATAGTCTATGAGTACATGCCCTATGGTAGCCTTGACAAGCACCTGTTCGATGAAAGCACCCCACTTTTAAACTGGGAGCAGCGGTACCACATCCTTAAAGGTGTCGTCTCGGCGTTGCTCTACCTACACGAACAATGGGAACAAGTGATAGTACACAGAGACGTGAAGGCTAGTAACATTTTGTTAGACACAGATATGAACAGTCGATTGGGGGACTTTGGGCTAGCACGGTCATGCGATCATGGAACCAACATGCACACGACACACGTGGTGGGATCACTTGGCTACCTTGCACCTGAGGTGTCCCGTACTGGCAAGTACACCACTTACTCTGATGTCTTTTCATGCGGCATTGTGTTGCTCGAGGTGGCTTGCGGGCGTAGGCCAGTCGACGTGAGGAGGTTGCCAGAAGAAATGATTTTGGTGGACTGGGTGTGGAAGTGCTTCAGTGAAGGAAAGCTCTTGAATGTTGCTGACCCTAGGCTTAAGGGTGGATTTGTGGAAGAAGAGATGGAAATGGTCTTAATGATAGGATTGATGTGCTCTTACCCTGTGCCTGGTGCAAGGCCTAGCATGAGGCAAGTGTGCCAATATTTGGATGGTGATATTCCTTTCCCTAAAAATACATTGCCTAATGACATTTTGGTCAACATAAACGGAAAGAATGACTCCTTTGAAGCCCATATTTCTGCTCATGATGATTTCTTCTATTTGAGTTCTTCTGGAGGGACTGAGTTTTTACTCTCAGGAGGCCGGTGATGGATGGATCACCGTTTTCGACATAAACATACTCTTTGTTTTTCTTCTTCTATCTCAGTTTGTAATAGAAATGTGTACTTCCTTTTTGTTTTCTTCTTCGATCTTTTATCATTTATAAATTGAGTGTATATTAGAAATGTTTGTAAGTATTGTGATTAAGAAGTTTAGAAGAACAGGGTTCCAAGGGCTACATAACCTAAAAGTAAGAGTCAAATGGTTTGCTCAGTCGTGCCATTCATTTTATACCTCATCTAGCATTTGCATATCCAAATGTGTGTTAAACGAATTTATTTCTTGCAATTTATCTTCCTTTTTTCTGTTTTTTGTGTGGGCATTTGTCTATTTTCTCTTTAACATCTTCATCTCATGTCATTGCATCTCTCCATATTAAATCCCACTCATATCATCCATATCAGCTTCATCTCTTTACCATCTTCATCTCACGTTATTCATTAGTCCATATTGAAACCTTCTCTCTCCTTAATCTAAGTCACATTATTTCTTACCATCCAATACCATCTGTATGATCATACCATCTGTATGATCCAAATCATTCATGCCATCCATGTGTTCAAATCTCTCATGCCTAAACTATACTTTCTCGTTTATGCATGCTCCTACAATTGTATATTTTCAAGCATTTAAGTTGCTTCTTCGGTATCTCAAGAATACACAGTCTTACGGTATAAGAATCTTATATGCTAGTTCATCTTATCTGCTAGTTCCTTTGAGTTATACACATATCAGATGGGCTGGGTATCAAAATACTGGTTGTTCGACCATTTATTTTTGCACCTCTTTTAGTTCCAATTGTATATCTTGGATGCTAAGAAACAATCGAGTGTGGTTCATTCAAGTGCTGAAACTGAATACTAATCTATGGCATCCACTACTACAGAATTAACATGGCTTTCTTTGATTCTTTGAGACATTGGGATGTCGCTTCCTCAACCACCACCAACATTTATTTTTGACAATACGAGTGCTATCTACATGACAATAAATCATGTCTTTTACACTAAAACAAAGCACATTGAATTAGACTATTATTTTTTTTTGTGAAAAGGTTGTTCTTGGATTACATATCACTCAGTTTATTTACTCTTATAGTCAAGTAGCTCGTATCATCTCTCGGCCATTGCCCTGAGATATTTTTTGAGATTTTTGCTTCAAACTCAAACTTCATATATGCTTCCCCAGCTAGGTTTGAGGGGGGAGATAGAAACAAAATTTAAGAATCCTAGTTTTTGGAAAGGCAATAGTAGAAATATTGCTTTGTACTTTTGCGAGATTGTAACACGAAAGGAAAGTATATATTACATGTAATAAGATAGACATCCATTATACTATTGTATCACTATCATATATATAATAAAAGAACCACCACAATATTTGTGTGGGGCACAGTTATTTTTCAAGTGTTCCTCTCTCTCTCTCTCTCTAAATTTATGGAGTTTAATCAGCCTGTCATTGACTCACATGGCCTCACCCTTACATAAACTTTTTTCTTTCTTAAAATATTGTTATTTTATTTTGCAATTCCATAACTTCTATTATTGTGTATCCATTATTGTTAGGCCCACCCAATATAATTATGTTGGTTTTAACAAGTGTAGGAAAATAAATTGGAGCAGTTAACCGGTCATGGGGTCAGAAACGGTAACGCAATACTAACCGGTAACTGGGCCTTTCAACCCGTCTAACCCGGCAACTCTTGGGTGGTAAAAAAAATGTTCAAATAAAAAATATAAAAAAATTTAATATAATATAAAACATATATTTAAAGCATGATTAAACAAAGCACATCCAAATGAAGTTGAAAATTAATAAAATAATAATAATTTTACGAAAATGATTAGTGCCCAAGGGTTTTTTTGAATTTTTTTAAAAAAAGATGGAAAATTTAAAAATAAGTATTAATGGTCAAAACATTAAAAAATACATTACAAATAAATCCTTTAAATCCTTTATTTTTTGGAGATTTTATATAATTTTTTTGTTTTAAATACCCAGCCAATTCACCAAAATCAACCAATGATCGGTTCCGATCTAATCGGGCAGTTACGATTTAAGCCGCTCGATTTTTCCGGTTTCAACGTTGGATAAAGTCTCTCACGTCAGCAGTTGAAGTCATGGAATTTTATTTTTAAATTATTGGTGTATGGTTGGTTGAAATGGTTGTCTTCCATGTGAAGTTAGCCAAGTCATAAGATATGACGGTTGACTTAGCAAACCAATGAAATCCCCATTCCCTTCCACCCTCATTTTGTAAACACTAAACCCAAGGAATCCAAGAAATTTCTCAACAAAGACAAATACATGACGACAAAACATCACGATCTGAAGGCACATCAAAGTCTTTCGAGGGGGGAGCCAAATTGTTTGATCTTTGATTCAAGAGGGTAGCATGCATTGCAGATGCTTAATTTGGATACCTTGACAACTGAGATTTAATATATGCTTCTAACTTCCAGGAAGAAACGCAAGATATTTTTTATTTACAATGATGTTTTAATTTACTACAAGAAATTATAGAGAAGAAGGAATTGCAAATAGATTAAGACACATCAATTCCATACCTCTCAATTCCCAATGGCAAAAGCACTTCACCACCATAAACTAAAGAAAAGGGAAAAGGGCGTGGCTTCGGTCACACCCCTCGTTTTGGTCCTATATGCCCACAACATCTCGAGCAGTCTTTCGTGCCAATCTCTTTCGGTGGCGGAAACCACTTCTTTGCCGAATCATAATGTCTGGTACTCCATATATAAAAATAACATTAGTACAAACAAAATTAGTCGTTGTTTTCCCGATAACCTTTCTGAATGAGATAGCTTCAGCCCACTTAGAAAAATAATTTATAGTTAGAACAAAAGCATGCCCTGCTGAAGAAGTCAGGGCCAAAGACATCCATTCCTCATTTAACAAACAACCAAGAGGTTATGTATAAGTCTTGTCAATTCTTTATAAACCATGAAAGCCGAAATTATTGACATGTAAAATTTTAGATCTGAAATCCATCTTCGTAGTACCCAACCCAAATTTTGAATCCACTGTAGCATCCGAACGATCTTGCAGTAGAGATTGAGACCCTACTATTGGTCAGCCAGGAATGTAGACCCCTAAGTCAAGAGATGTGGTTAGGGCAATTCACGGCTTAGATAATCTTCCACAGAAGCCAGCAAAAGACTTCATGTTTTCAACACAGAGTCAACATAAAGTAAGACATAGATCAATGCAACGACTGGGTATTCTATGAATAATGCCCTAGAGAAAATGATACTGAGTTACATTCAAATTACTTGCCAGGACAAATCGTCCCACTACTGTTTGCTGGTTTTGGCGATCTGGTTGGATATTTAAAATAAAAAATAAAAAGATATTATATAAAATCTTGAAAAATAAAGAATATATTTGTAGGGAATTTTTTAATGCTTTTTAACATTAAAGAAAAGAATGGAATGTGTTTTGCCTATAAATATTTATTTTTATATTTTTTATCTTTTTTTTAAATATAAAAAATATCCCTAGGCACATATCGATTATTTAATTTTTTTTTTCCACTAATTTTCATCTTCATTTGGATGTGTGTTGTTTAATCCTGCTTTAAATATATCTTTCATATTTTTTCATATTTTTTATTTTAGTTTTTGAACACATTTTTGACCAGCCAGGCAATGGCGAGGTTAGGCGCGTTGAACCGTCTAGTTTACCAGTTAATCTAAAGTGGCCCTTGGCCGGTTTTTTAGGCCGGTTCGATTTTTCAAACACTGTTACTTGCAACTTGCATTATCATCATCCTAAGAGCTTTTTAGTTAACAATTTATGGTCGTCTAGACGAATCCTGATCCGCCATTCAGCTATCTATCAATAATCATGACATTACTTGTAATTTGCATCTACCACTAAATTGTGGTGATCGTTTTTGGAGAATGGCTCATCTCCACTGCCCATTACTGCAACGGTGCGATTTCCATAAGGTTGCAACCTTAAAAAATTCAATTAAGGCGCACCTCCAAATTTTATCATTAACATGTAATTTTGGTGTAAAAAAGTCTTAGGACTATCTAATAATCGATTTTCATATCTAATTAGAAATTTCAAACTAAAAAATGGTTAAAATCAATTTTTTTATAACCATATGAAAATCTTGAAAATGGACAATCTAGATAATGTATTGCAAGATGTACTATTTATGCAACTCAATATCTTTTTTTTATATATATTCACATATCTCGATGTTGAGATGATCAATTAGAAGGTTGAAAAGCATTAAAACAACCTTTTTCGATGGATTTTTTAGGTGCATCTGTAATTCTACATTTTAGGGTTGCAACCTTATATAAACTTTTTCCTTACTGCAAAAGGACGGTCAGGATGAAAGTAACACTAGAATTTTGTCTATAGTATGGTTTTCCCATAAAATAACTACACTCACAATGCTACAGGGCTGGTTAACATCAAAAGGAAAGCGGAAGGAGAGATACGGCGGCGGATACACAAAGATCATCATTAGACTGCAATCCAATCCCTTCCTCATTTCTTCCACAAATGACCATATGAATCCATGTATTCCACATACTGGTTTCCTTTTTCCTAAAAAAACAAAACCAATAAATCTTCCTTCCCCTGCTTCTCTAAGAGAAGCAGAAAAGAAAGAAAATGTTGCTCCAAGCTGTGCTCCTCATTCTTGCACCCAACCTCTCTGCCTCATATGAGACTGGCTTCAACTACTCAAGCTTCCATGGAGCAAACTTGAGCTTAAATGGTGTCTCAGAGGTCACACCTAGTGGAGCATTACAGCTGAGCCAATATTCTCAACAAGTGATAGGTCGTGCTTTCTACCCCAACCTCTTGTAATTCAAGAACTCCTCATCGGGCAATGCTTTCTCTTTCTCAAAAGCTTTCGTATTTGTTATCGAGGCTGCCAATGTCATCGCATCTGGTGGTTTTGCATTTGCTATCTCTCCTTCTACTAAGCTTGAAGGAGGCCAAAGCACGCAGTACCTCGGTCTTGGTTGCATCACAGGCAATGATGACCCCAAAAACCAAGTTTTTGGAGTCGAATTTGACACTCACAAGAGCGTAGATTTAGGAGACATCGATGATAACCATGTGGGTATTGACCTGAACAGCGTGAAGTCTAACGTATCCGCTTCTGCGGCTTATTACACTACAAAGAATCATGAGACTTCCAAACATGGCATAAATCTCAAGAGTGGAGACCCAATTCAGGTATGGATAGAATATGATGGCATAGAGAAGATGCTGAATGTAACTCTACCTCCTATTCAAATAGCTGGAAGAACCAGTCCCCCCTTTGATTTCTTCCGGGGTTGATCTCTCCCCAATCCTTCAAGAGTTCATGTATGTGGGTTTCTCTGAAGCACAGGCGTGTTTTTAACCTGCCATTACATTCTGGGTTGGAGCTTTGCAATAAATGGCAGGGCTCGAGACTTAGATCTCTCTCACCTGCCTTGGTACGCAAAACCCAAATCATCTAGAGGGATTTCTATGGCTTCTATGATTGGCATAATTCTATCTTCTATAATCCTAGCCATGGCAATTATATCAGGGATTGTATACCTTGTTAAAAGGCAAAGGGATGAGGAGATCGTGGAAGAGTGGGAGTTGGAGTATGGGCCACATAGGTTCTCATACAAGGAGCTATGTGATGCCACCAAGAATTTCAGAGAGGATGGGCTGGTGGGATCTGGGGGCTTCGGCAAGGTTTATAGGGGAGTGATGCCAAGCTCTGGGATGCAAATTGCAGTGAAATGCAATGCAAACAATTCTGGGGTAGGGTTAAGAGACCTCTTATCAGAGATCTCCATCATTGGGAGACTACGACACAGGAACCTGTTACCACTACTTGGATGGTGCAAGTGGAAAACAGAGCTCCTCATAGTCTATGAGTACATGCCCTATGGTAGCCTCGACAAACACCTGTTCGATGAAAGCACCCCACTTTTAAACTGGGAGCAGCGGTACCACATCCTTAAAGGTGTCGTCTCAGCATTGCTCTACCTACACGAACAATGGGAACAAGTGATAGTACCCAGACGTGAAGGCTAGCAACATTTTGTTAGACACAGATATGAACAGTCGATTAGGGGACTTTGGGCTAGCACGGTTATGTGATCATGGAACCAACATGCACACGACACACGTGGTGGGATCACTTGGCTACGTTGCACCTGAGGTGTCCCGTACTGGCAAGTACACCACTTACTCTGATGTCTTTTTGTGCGGCATTGTGTTGCTCGAGGTGGCTTGCGAGCGTAGGCCAGTCGACGTGAGGAGGTTGCCAGAAGAAATGATTTTGGTGGACTGCGTGTGGAAGTGCTTCAGTGAAGGAAAGCTCTTGAATGTTGCTGACCCTAGGCTTAAGGGTGGATTTGTGGAAGAAGAGATGGAAATGGTCTTAATGCTAGGATTGATGTGCTTTTACCCAGTGCCTGGTGCAAGGCCTAGCATGAGGCAAGTGTGCCAATATTTGGATGGTGATATTCCTTTCCCTAAAAATACATTGCCTAATGACATTTTGGTCAACATAAACGGAAAGAATGACTGCTTTGAAGCCCATATTTCTGCTCATGATGATTTCTATTTGAGCTCTTCTGCAGGGACTGAGTTTTTACTCTCAGGAGGCCGGTGATGGATCACCGTTTTAAACATAAACATACTCGTTGTTTTTCTTCTTCTATCTTGGTGTGTAACAGAAATGTGAACTTCCTTTTTGTTTTTCTTCCTCGATCTTTTGTCATTTTTTAGTGGATATTGGTAATGTTCATAAGTATTGAGATTAAAAAGTTTAGAAGAACAGGGTTCAAGGGCTACATAACCTACAAGAGTCAAATGGTTTGCTCAGTCGTGCCATTCATTTTATACCTCATCTAGCATTTGCATATCCAAATGTTTGTTAAACCAATTTCTTTTTTGCAATATATTTTTCTTTTGCCTGTTTCTTGTGTGGGCATTTGTCTGTGTTCTCTTCAACATTTTCATATCACGTCATTGCATCACTCCATATTAAAATCCTCTCATATCATCTTCATCTCTTTCGCGTCTTCATCTCACCTCATTCGTTTGTCCATATTAAAACTGGCTCTCTCCTTCATCAAGTCACATTATTTCTCCATCAAGTCACATTATTTCTCCATCAAGTCTATATTAAAACCGGCTTTCTCCTTAAACAAATACCATTCGTATGATCCAAATCGCTCATATCATCTATATGGTTCAAGTCTCTCACGCCTAGACCCACTTTCTCATTTATGCATCCTCCTACACTAGCACATTTTCTAGCAGTTAAGTAGATTCTTCAGTATCTCATGATACATAGTCTTATGATATAAGAATCTTATCAGCTAGTTCATCTTATTTGCTAGTTCTTTTGAGTTATACGCTTTTCAGATGGGAATGGTGTCAAAACACTCACTGTTCAATCATTGATTTTTGCATCGATCTTGGTTATAATTGTTTATCTTGGAATGCTAATAAACAATCGAGTGTGGCTCGTTCAAGTGCTGAAGCTGAATACCGATCTATGGCATCTACTGCTGCAGAATTGACATGGCTTTCTTTGATTCTTTAGGACATTAAGATGTCACTTCCTTGGCTACCAACACTTTCACCAACACTTTTTTGTGATAATACTTATGTTATCTGCATGTCTTGCATGCTAGACTAAAACACATTGATTTAGACTATCATTTTATATGTGAAAAGGTGTTCTTTGATTACATGTCACTCAATTTGTTTACTCTTGTAATCAAGTGGATAGTATCTTCTCCAAGCTACTACCTGAGATATTTTTTGAGATTATGTATTCAAACTCAGATTGCAGATATGCCTCCCCAACTAAGTTTGAGGGTGAGATAAAAACAAAATTTAAGAATCCTATTTTTTGGAAAGGCTAAAATAGAAATATTGCTCTTTCCTATTTAAAGAATGTAATATGATAAGAAATTGTATATTGCATGTAACAATATAGGAAAATGTCTATTATACTATTGTATCACCATTATATATACAATGAAAGAACCACTACAGTGTTTGCGTAGGGCACAATTATTTTTTTAAAATTCCTCTCTCTCTCTCTCTATAAATTTCTGTAGTTTAATCAGCCTCTCATTGACTCACAGGGCCTCACCCTTATATAAACTTTTTCCTTTTTTAAAATATTGTTATTTTATTTTGCAATTCCATGTATTATATTATTATTTATCCATTATTGTCAGGCCCACCCAATATAATTATGTTGGTTTTAGCCAGTGTAGGAAATCAAACCAAAACGGTTAATCGGACATAGGGGCGGCAGCGGTTACACCGTACTAATCGGTAAACCGGCTGGTTTAACCTATCTAATCGAGCAAGTCTTGGGTGGGTGGTAAAAAAAAGGGTTAAAAAACAAATAAAAACTACAAAAATATCTAATATAATGTGAAACATATATTTAAAGCATGATTAAACAAAATACATCCAAATGAAGTTAAAAATTAATGAAAAAAAATGAATTTTAAATAATCGATTTTCAAATCTTTGTCAAAATGATGAAAAACGTTAAAAAATATATTTAAAATAAAATCTCTTATATTTTGATATTTTTGAATTATTTTTTAAATACCTAAACGGTTCACCAAAATCGGCCAAAACTGAAACCAGTCAAATGACCAGTTCCGTCTAATGGAGCAGTTAACATTTGAGCCCCCTAATTTTTCACGCACTGGTTCTAGCCTTGAATAAACTCTCTCACATTTGTAAGGTTGAGCTCTTGGAATTTTATTCTTTAAAGTATTGGTGTATGGTTGAAATCGTTGTCTTCATTGTGAAGTTTGCCGAGTCCTTTGAATTTTATTCTTTAAATTATTGGTGTATGGTGAAATCGTTTTCTTTGTTGTGGAAGTTAGCGTCATAGGATGTGAACCTTGACTTAGCAAACTAATCAAATCCCCATTCCTTTTCTAGTTCATTTTGTGTCCACTAGACCCAAGGGATATCGAAGAAATTTCTCAACAAAGACTAATAGCAAAACATCACAATCTAAAGGCACATAAAAGTGTCTGACTTCTAGGAAAAAAAGAAACTGTTAGGTTTATGTGGCCTTTAAAGGTTTTATGAGAGCTTGTATAGGAATTGTATATAATGAATCATAAACTCAGTGGAAGTATGGTCCTCTTGTAGATCATATTAAGAAAATACAATTTACCGGTACTCGGACTTGGCTTGACGTGCTAAGCCAGCAGAGTTGGAAAAACCAAGTTACCTGGGCATAGAGATGAAACTGATAAAGGTTTAATAGGTTAGCCCTTGATGAGGTCGGAGTATGCCTGGATGAGAGCCGAGAGACTGTGTGACCATTGTGTATGATGAATACTCTATAGAGATATGACTAGAACTTCATCATTGTATCATCACATAGCATGTACATAGATAGTCGTACTGAGATAGTAATCCACAATTTAGGGTGAATCTTGTATATGTTCGAAAGATTACCCCTACGCACCATAGAGTTATGGTTGCATCATAGTTTGCCTTTAGAGGAGAATCTAAAATATACATACTAGGATTACATCTCTTAGCCCATTGATTGAGTTTGACGATCCAATCATGAGCCCATGCAGTGGAATGTGGGCATAAGAACTGTTGGGTCAGTTTGAAAAAGCTAGTTTGGATTGTGATCCACAGTTGAAGGTAGAGTGCTTATATGCATTGATTAAATCCTAGATCTATTCAGATCCGATTCCCATCAAAATTAATTTAATTTAATTAATTTTATGTTATTTGATTTTTTAGAATGTTTGTTTGAATTTTTATGAATCATCTGATATTTTAATTTTTATCATTTGCATTTATAAATCAAGATAAATTCATTTTTAAATAAGTTTGAAAAATCTAAAAATCAATTTTTATTGTTTGTAAAAATATGTGGGACTCTCCATAATTATTGGAGCCCATTTAAATCACATGGGACAATTGGCAGCCTATGAGTGGTCACCAAAGGTTGGCAAGCCCCACCCATAGGGGATTGTCTTTTCTTGCTAAATATTGTAAGATGCATCTCATGCTAGCTGGATTTCTTTTTGTGGAAAGAGGCCTACTTGCAATAAAGGAATGAACTATGTGGTTTTAGAAAATCTTGAGAATCAAGAATGTTTGATTGATAAATAAAGAATGAATATTTATTATTAGATAAAGTAAATATATGTTTTCTTTATTTAACATATTTGATATGAATAGGTTTAGGAATGGGAGGACATGGTCCTAGCACATTTTTTAGCATCTTGATGGTAGATCTAGAGAATTGATGACTCACATCTCTCATCCCATGAGTCTCCTTAGATCGACAGTCAAGATTTACTCCTATGATTTTATAACAAACCCTAATGAATGAAAAATTTATAAAGCAGATCATTCTCCTCCCTTGTCTTTACATCTCTTACTTACTCTCTCTTCTCTCTCTAATATAAAATCTCTCTCTCTCTAGCCTCTCTAAGGGACATGCCTCACATAATGTTGGGTTTGGTGATAGCTAAATCATCATACCCATATATTTTTTTCTAGAAAATTATGGGTATTATAGTAAACAGAAAATAGACTTTTTTGGAAAGCAAAAAAATGAGATCTATATAATAGAGTGAAGGAAGATATAATATCCATCATTTAAGGGTCACCCCTTAGGGGGTTGTAGGAATGAATCTTCAATATGAAGATGAGTCTCCGAGAGAGAGAGACATAGCCTCCGAGAGAGAGGCGGTATTCTCATGAGTTTTGAGTTGGTTAACTTCAATTTCTAGAGAGAAAATATATCTATATTGCTCTCGAGGTTATCTTTCCGGTAGCGGCATTGCGATGGGAAAGAGGTTGATCGACGATGTTGCTCGGTCAGGACAGTGAGTTTATAAGGGAAAATTAGTGATGGTGTTTTACCGATGTTTAGAGATAGGCATTATCTCTTATAACTCAAAACTGTAATCTTCATTGTGATAGTGGATTTCTAGTTGCCAAGGCCGTAGATGTAGCCCTACGGGGTGAACCACGTAAATCATGCATTGTTGTGGTGCGCTTTTTACGTTTGCTTTATTTCTCGCAACTCGATTTATAGTTGTATTCATCTACTTCGCATGTGGCTAATTGAGTACACGATCTTGGGTGGGATCCTGGTATTTGGGATTCCCGGTTCTACAAGCTAAGGGATTCTCGAGAACCCTACACATAAGTTACTCTCTCTCTCTCTCTCTCCTCNCTCTCTCTCTCTCTCTCTCTACTCTACTCTACGTCTACTCCTACGTACGTACGTACGTACGTACTACCGTACGTACGACGACGT